CCCCCCAGTGCCACAGTATTCTGTAAGGAGAACACTGCACGGAAATGGTGGGGATAGTATTTCTGAAGTACCAAATCTGACAGTGCTCCTGGGAAGACCAGCTTTACTTTGCATGCCTTGTATGTCAGGTCATGTAAGAACAAAAGCACCACGCTTTATAGCTATCCTGTGGTACTGAAAGAGACTGTTTAGCTCATGCATCTGAAAAGTCAAGTAGTAATCAACTGCTGAAGTATGATTACCCATGAGCTTTCATTGTCTGTGTTAATTACACGGAACTAGAGTTAAGTCACACACTTTGCTAAAATGACTACTTTTTCTGTCTTCCTTACATTGTTTGGGGTTCAGTAAAAAGGAAAAAACTAAGAAGGACAGTCTCCTGGAGTTCAGTCCTTTATTCTGCCACTAAAATATTTCCTGATAGTTTGAAGAGGTATTTGCATAGGTGGCCTGGCAGGGTTCCTGCAGCATTGAACCATGGTCTTAAAAAGGGTTAGATTATGTTGCACAATATCAGCAAATGCTACCTTCTTCCCCCATCTTCCCATTTTCAGTTCCTGCTGCAAAAAGAGGAAGATATACAGGACTGAAAACAGATTCACGGCTTTTAACAAAGGCAAAACAACATGTTTCTTTCTGATAACATTCTTAACATCAGAAGTGTTTTGGTTCAGGTTCCCCATGAAAGAAAAAATCATCCTAATGCCAGTAACATGGTACTAAAAGTTCGGCTGAACAATTCAAGTTTGGCAAATTTCTAAACATGTTACAGTGGAAGGTGCCAGTAAACTTTAAGTATAGATTTCTACACACCTACAAGGTAATATATAATATAAACTATGAAACCTTAAGTCAGTTAACAGTTGTGTAGGTATATGAAGTATGGTCTTGCAGTAGGCTCTAGATAGGTAGAGTTCCTGTTGGAGTTAACAGATGTCACTTCATTTATATCTGAAGCAGGACATGACTAGTAATACAGAATACACTAAAATGAGCAACGTAAAGGATTGTTACGTTGGAGATGTTAATTTTATCATTAACTGATTTGGGCTTTTAGAAATGTAAATACAATATTCTTGAAAGTATTTCTATATGTCTCATGTTTATAGCATTTTTGTGGTCTAATTAATTCCTGTGACATTTTCACAATGTAATTTTAAAATTGAGAAGTCTAAACACATTCATCAAAGTATTCTTGGTCAGAATAGCATGAAGCCAGGCAGGGCATTAGGACTCCTTTCCCGAATTAAGGCCCCAAATGGTTTTACAGAAAGAAGAGCTGCACAATTAATTTCATATTATGTGTTATTTTCACTTTCTCTTAGGTCTATAAGCAAATAGTGTAATCTAAACAAAATGGAAAGTTCATATTGCACAGGTACAAAACAGATAATCTAATTATTTATAACCCTTTCTATTCATTCTCTGTTTCGTAATTGCCCCCAGGCTAGCTTTTACAGAGGCATAGCCACCTGGATAGGTTTTGCTTCTGAATTTCTGTGCAAATAGAATAATTTTTTAAAAATACTTTGCTAACAGAAAAGCAGCTAACAAAGCATGTCTTTACACTGCAACACAGTTAAAACATAAAGATGTTTATAGAAACATAAGAAAAACTTTCCCTTACATTAAAACAGAGCATGCAAAACGGCAGTCAAAAGACGCAGCTTACAAAATGTTATGGTTATGTAGAAATGAGGGATTTGAACAGAAATCATATTTGAAATTTTCTAATAGGAGTATGCTACACAACACAAATGCTCCTGTAGTGTATTTCCCCCATATTTCTTTATTTGCAGTATATGATGGAATTTTTGAAAACATTGCTTTTTAACTGACTAGTGTGAAATAAATCTAATATGACTTATTAGTGTCTGTTAAGATTGGAAGGAGTTGTCCTGAACTACAGTCCTTCCCCACCCTGTAGTTTCAAAAAGTATTTTTGCCAGCTAAGAAATTTTGAGTAACAGAGCAGAATAATCCTTTTGATTTACAAGCTATTCAAACCTGGATGAGAAGACGTGAAGAAAAAAAATGTAATATGTGAATTAAGCAGAAAATTACTGGATTCAACTGTCAAGAAAGATGTTAAGAGTTCAGTTGATCGTAATTTACAAGCACTAGCATGAAAAAGTGAGTGCTTACAGTAGACAGCTCTTTAGCAGAATGAGACATAAGTATATACAGTTGTCAGAAGCTGAAGTTTTAACAGCTTGAAATCAGAAATTGGGTGCAAATCCTTTTATCAAGTAAGGCTATTTAAACATTGGAACTACTGATCAAGGGTGATATTGCATAACTGAAGATTTTCAGATCAAGATCTCATATTTGCTTACAATATATTGGGGGTTTTTATATAGTTGTTGAAAGCATGACCACAGATTACTGCAAGAGAATCTATGGTCTGTTTCCTGCATGGGAGCTACATAGCTCATCACAAGGGATACTTTAACTTTAAAGTATCTGTGACATTCAGCATCACAAAGGAGCTCCTTAAAGAATCTCACAAGAAGTGCCAGCAGAAACGCTGCTGTCTGTGGATGGCATTAAATGAGCAAAACACTCTAATGGCAAAGTGTGGTTTACTTATTGGGACTACTGTTGTTCAAGCTACAGCTTTGCAGTTACAGCTGTTCGTGTTAGGAATGCTGTGTGCACATAAAATACATTATTCTGTTCTGCAGAGTTGTCCTGGTTTCGGCTGGGATAGAGTGAGTTTTCTTTCTAGTAGCTGGTATAGTGTTATGGTTTGAGTTCAGTATGAGAAGAATGTTGATAACACACTGATGTTTTCAGTTGTTGCCAAATAGTGTTTATACTAAGTCAAGGATTTTACAGCTTCTCCTGCCCAGCCAGCAAGAAGGCTGGAGGAGCACAAGAAGTCGGGAGGGGACACAGCCAGGGCAGCTGACCCAAACTGGCCAACAGGGTATTCCATACCATGCGACGTCACGTCTAGTATATAAACTGGGGGGAGTTGGCCAAGGGAGGTGTGGATTGCTACTTGGGAACTAACTGGGCATCGGTCAGCGAGTGGTGAGCAATTGCATTGTGCATCACTTGTTTTCTATATTCCAATCCTTTTATTATTATTGTCATTATTGTTACTATTATTTTCTTCCTTTCTGTTCTATTAAACTGTTCTTATCTCAGCCCACGAGTTTTACCTTTTCTCTTTCCATTCTCCCCCCCATCCCACTGGGTGGAGGGGGGAAGTGAGTGAGCAGCTGCATGGTGCTTAGTTGCTGGCTGGGGTTAAACCACGACAAGAATGTTGCCGGCATAGACGTTGTCACAGCGTGTGTGGGGAAGGTACTGTGGGAAAGTGATGAAAGTAGCAATTTGCTTTTTAATTACCCCAGGCAGGCTTAGAGCTGTGACAGAGGAGATCCTGCAAGTCCAGAGAGATAAGACACTTTCATCCCTAGATGGCCTGTCCTGTCCTTCTGCGGGAGATTATTGTCTCCAAGGCAGAGCTGGCAGAAGGGAACTGTCAAAGTACACAGCCTAGCATCTTATTTCAGGCCTCCCTTCACAAGCAGTTTAAGTGTTGAATCCTAACAGTATTCTTGTAGCTACTGCACAGTAACAGTACGTGTCCCACATGGTCACTGTACTCGTTCCAGCAAGGTAAAGCTGCATAATCCTAGGGCCTATATACACAGAAGGCATCTTTTTGTCAAAACCATTACTCTACCATTGAAACATTTTAGTAACTCCTCCTGCACTTGAATCTGACATTTTAAAGGTAATTTTACATTCCAGCAGCTTTGCACATTTAGCTATGCTTTAACTGAAGTGGCTTTTTGAATATGGAAAATGTCAAAGAACATTATTTTCATTAGTATTTCTACAATGCTGGATAGCAAGCTTGCTCTGTATACTATTCCTTCTAAGATTTCTGTTGAATTACTATGTATTTCTAATTCCACACTGTAAATCCTAATATTTTCATTGTTACTTCTTCCTAATCTGCTGCTGTTAGGAGTCAGGAAAAGACAAGATGTATATGCTCTTCCTGGGTTGCAAGTTCTCTACCACCCTGACTTCAGTTTTCTATCTTAACCTTGTAGGGGTTTTAATTTGGGAATTTGAAGAAGTTGGGAACAAATTACTTTCTTGCTGTGCTTTGAAAAAACAATTTTGCTATTTGCTTGTTTCAATGATTACAGTGAGAAGAATTGTTCAGAGATATGGGAAGCGTTTAAAAATGCATTTATTAACAAGGATCCTTGCAGCATTCTACCTAAGGACTATGAATTAGTTATCAACCTGTCATTGCACACAATTCCACCTAACAAGGTAATGATTATTAATGTTATGTTAACAGTCCTGTGGCATCCAGCAGATTTTCCAAGACACAGGTCAAAATTGACCAAGTGTCGTTCTGTGGCTGACTCATGATTCATTCTTTTTGGCCTGTCTGTAGTTTACTAACTAGGCACAGGCTTGATGGCATTTTTCCATGTGTTTGGCTGGATTTGTTTTATGCAATAACTTCTCAGCAACTTTTCTATTTTCATACTACAAAGGTCCCCCATTTTTTCTGCTGTGCCAGGAGCTCTGTCATAGTCCCTAAACTTCGACTTCTACTTTTCCTCAAGTTAGTGCTCTGCCTGCAAAGACTGTGCCTGCTATTGTCTTTTGCTTCCACAGCCAAGTCACAGGGCAATGACATATTAGAGATTGACATGTTAAACAAGCATAAGCAGAAATGAGATAGGATGCCATTATGTGGTAGAAAACAGTAAGGGTTTGATGTGCTGGCAATTGCAGAGAACTGTGCAGGTGCAAAACACGGCTCTTCATGCCATCATACCCCATCAGAATGTGTGCTTTGGCCTTATCTAAAAGGTTGTGCTTTGAAGCAGTTTTTCCTCTAGCACAGTTATTCCTTATCTGTAAATGATACAAGCTAAACCAACAAATACTCCTGTCAACACAGCTTAATTCATCAAAGACTTTTGCAAGCACAGAAATAACAGCTAGATGTATGATTTTTTCACACCATAAGTCAACATAGCAGTGGGAGAGAATTCTGATAAGATATATCTAGCTTATAAATATCTGTCTTCCCTTTCTTCTCCCTTTTCCTAAATCTGTCTGCTGAGGAAAGCAAAGCTAGGCCTAACTATATTTAATATAGGTCTATTGATTCCCATCATGGTATGAATGCCCCTAAAGCCTATAGTGATCAGAACTTACACCACTGTAAAAAAAAACTTTGTTATTCTGAAGAGATAGCTAATATTTCTGGTTATTAGCCTGATTTTGAAAGGAATACTAAAAAGTGTTTAAAACTGTTTTCAACACCCCATAATCTCATTGTGTCCATGCCCAAGTGATAGTTCATTTCTTCACTATTATTTTTTTCCTTTTTTCATGTAGTCTCTCTTCTGGGAAAATAATCAGCTGCTAGTCAAGAGCTTTGCTGACAGAGGCCGTCGCTACATGTCTCTGGGTGATACTCTGTTTGGCTTCTTTGGAGATTTTCTAAACTGGTGTGGGCAGGCAAACAGTGCTGGTAAGACGATGAATGCTATATTAAACATCTGTCTGTAAAACTATAATGGAGACCAACTGCTGTGTTCTGGAGGAGCTAATTTTGCTCTTATCCCATGAAAAATCAGGGATAGCTTCATTGTCTTATTCTCTCCTGTTTTGTGTGAATATTTAACATTGCAGTCAGGAAAGCACACAGTGAAATCTAAACAGTGCTGCACAGGAGATAAACCTCCTTCTCAGTCCTCTGAATGTGGAGCTCTCTGCATCCCAGGTATAGAGTTAGAGCTGTTTCAGCCGAATTATTGAATCCACAGAACGTCACTGTTTGTGTAAACTGCAAAGGATGGAAAATGATAGAAAAAAAGAAAACTTATCAGCTTTCAGTGTTATGTCAGACCATCTTGTATGCTCAGTGAGTAATGCGCAAATATATTTAATTGCTTTCTAAGATCACTTTTTATGGTTGTTATCATCTCTCTAATAGAAAAAATCACATGCCTTCCTACAGGACTGGACTATGAATCCTGCCCTACCATGGAGGAATGTGAAAACAACGCGGTGGACTCTTTCTGGAGGATGGCCTCAATCACTGTAAATAGTGCATTAGCGCTGACTTCGTACATTAGTGAGCATGTCCTGAGTGGTTCAGGAAAACATTGCTGGATCAAACCAGATTTAAGTCTGTAACTGTGCTAGATTATTTCCCCTGATACAAATACACTCTTTTAGACTGGGTACAGTGTTTTAGCAAGAGGAACCTAACTTTCACCTTAGCTAGATAATGTGTTGAAATTCTGCATTAGCTTTGTTAATATATATTAAGCATATACTAAGCACAATAAGCACACTAGTTGTCTACTGAATGTAGGTCCTAAGTGACATTTGGCAGCCTTAGTGGAAACCCTTTATTCACAGATGAAACCCAACATAGAGTGCCAAAATGCTTTCTTCCTATGCTGAAGAAACTATTTATGTGTGTGAGAAAATAGTTTGAGAAGATGCATTGAATTAATGCACTGGCTATTCAGTTCTTGTCCTCTCTACTGCAGTGACCTACTAGGGTGCTAGGATGGTATTATTGTCACAGTTCTGATATTCTTCTTGGTAAAACTCTTTTCTTGGTCTTAGTTGCTTGCAATACAATACCAAGTCATATGACAAATCTGTAAGATGAGTTCTGAAAAAAATTGTTATGTATTGCAGTATGCACAGCACAGTTCTGGGGTGATACATGTCTTGTTGAATGGTTCTGCAGTCGGAGGAGCTTATCCAGCCCCAGGGTAAGAAAACTGACTTATTTATGTGTACAAGGTCTGATGCCTGCAAAAAAAGGGTCAACCAGTTGTTTGGGTCTTCTGCTGCACAAAGCATGGGAAGTGTAGCTGGAAGAGCCTGTTGCATCAAACTCTGCTGAGTTGTGGGGACAACTGTTAATTGTCCCCAGCTGTAGGAATTAACATGAAATGGATGGAAACAATCCTTTTGACTCCTGCATTTTACAAACTGCTAGGCAAGCAGGATAAATGCTCTTTGAAAGAAGCCTTCAAGTCAGCCAACATCTGTGGCAAAATGTGTATGTCTTCAAAAAGATGAGCATTACAAAATTTCTATTCAGGGACATCTCTAAGGAGAGAACATTGTTACAAGGACTGTAGCCTCTGTCAGGCCTAGGAACAAACTTGGTAAGTTCTATAGGGAAAGTGCTTTGTCCTGCTATTTCTCTGTGACCAAGAGAGGAGGTAGTTTGAGAGCCATTATGGTTTCAGAAAGCAAAAAAGCTCGTTGAGAAGGATAATAGCAAGGATTAGCTTCCTCTTCTCCTTATTCCCTCGTATATTAAGGACAGATGTATTTTCCCAGATTTACAAGTGTACCACTATGCAGAAGTTCATCTAAGCTTATATTTAAAATTTATTCTAAAAGTACACCCTTAAGAACTTCTACTGAATATGTGGCTGCAGTGACTGCCTACCTGTAATGAAAAATACATCTTTCCTTACCTCAGCAACTGTCCTGTCCAAGACAGATCAAAAAAACATCCTTTAAAAACCCATAGAACAGATCATCCTCCTGTGTGCTTACTGAGGACTAAAAAGTTAATTTTATCTCCGGACAGGAGAGAAACAAGAACCATCTGTTCCAAAACACCTACTACCTACTTACCTCCACCCCAAAAAGGTCCATCTCTGTACACAGCTTTCAGCTAATCAGGAAGACTTATATGGTCTCCTTGGGTTGGTCAGGTGGTCAGCTGGGATCAAGTCTTCCACAGATGATAATATGTGGCAGCAGGTCAATGCCCAGAATCCACTATAGATTCCTTATTTCAGAAAAAGATTCCTTAGTTCCCTTAATTTACAGGTTCCTTATTTCAGAAACCTCTTGCATGTAAATTAATTCCACCACTTCCCTGGGTTGCCTGTTTGGAGGTATCGTGACCAGTGAAATCTCCACCACTGGAACACAGCCTGCCAAGAAAAAAACAAAGCCAGTTACTCCATCTGTTTTCTCTGCTGTGTATCTTCTGGTCCATTTATGACTGAATTCATTTAAGAGATCTTGTTTGAAAGAGGCTTAGAGTTTAATAATTAATAGCAGAAGGTAATCTGAAAGATCTACCTGTCTTCCTAAACACCTCTCTGATCTGTTTTCATGCATTTCAAAAGCCACTTCCAAAGTTTATCCTGCTTTACAGTTTGTACACATAAATCATCATTGTCACCTGTTACCATTTCAGTTAAAATTTATTTCTCACTTCACTGCAAAATAACTTCACTCATTCACACAGTATGAATGTAGTTGGCATACTTCTTTAATAATATTAGTCAGTTCAAAAATTGGTTTACTGAAGTCAATTGTACATTGTTCCTCCACAGTTTCTGACTCCTCTAGTTAAAGATTGCTTTATATTTTGGAGGAAGCTGCATTTTTGCTGGCAATAACATATGCATGAATGAGCAAATGAGTTAAAATATTTGGAATCTTTATTTTTTTGTTATATTTTCACTATGTGCTAAAGACAGGCTTGGACACCTGGGACAGACAGGCAAACCTGCTGTTGCTGCGGCTGGTCCCTGCTTAGCCACTGCTGTACTAGACTTGACTAGAGAGGGCAAGGGCCAGTATCCACCCCTCCAGAAGTTTAAATGAACTTGCAAACTTCATGAACAGGTCTCAGCTGGCTGCCCACAGACACTGAAAACCACCACACGTCATGTGCTACCACACCAGAGCACCAATATTTTGCTTGCAGGCACCAGGACAACAAAGCAGTGGTCACATTGCCACTGGTGGTCTCATCCAGAAGGCAACAACTAACAGTACCGTCTAGTCTGGGGGGTCTCAGAGCATTTAAAGTGGCTAAGAGACACTGCAACCCAGATGTAGACATTTAAGAAGACCCATGATAAGCAAATTATAGCACACACTTAGGCTCAGGCTTAGATCAACCATTCAGCACGGATACAGCCCTTATAAGCTTTCTGAGGGGAAAAAAAAAAAATCAATTAAAAGGTTGGAGATCATTACAGCATATCTTGCTGGAAGGGTTAGAAATCTGTGGCTTTGAAATGCCTGCATCTCACAAAAAATTCAATTTACAGACATTAAAATAATCCTTTGGATTTGGTATTTTTAGGTTAGATATTAGGAAGAAATTCTTTACTGTGAGGGTGGTGAAGCACTGGAACAGGTTGACCAGAGAAGTTGTGGATGCCCCATCCGTGAAAGTGTTCAAGGCCAGGTTAGATGGGGCTTTGAGCAACCTGGTCTAGTGGAAGGTGTTCCTGCCCATGACAAGGGAGTTGGACTAGATGATCTTTAAGGTTCCTTCCAACCCTAACCATTCTATGATTCTGTGAGTCTATGATTTAGTTGCCATTTTATTATCTTGGTTTATATGCTATTTAAATATCTATCAAAGTCAATTTACACAAAGCAATAAAGTGGAAGATTTCGTAGGCTAGGGATGGACATGTCTAGAAGTTTCTCCTTGGTGGTCTTATATATCCTAGACAGAGACTTCATGTTACTGTTGCTGTGATTTTGTACCTAAAAATACATTTGTTTTGTGGCTATTGTTATTTTTTTATTTAAAGAAAAAATGTATTGTGTCTAAAAGCAATAACTACAAGAATGACCTTTTTCTTTTTTTTCTAAGTATCAAATGCTTTTTTTGTGTTTTTTCATTTTTTAAAGTGTACTTCATTCTGGTTCACCTCTAAATTGTAACTTTTTTCAGCTGAGCCCCTCTAAGGTGAAGAATATGAAAACAAAACTTCTGATTAAATGTCTTTGACCTTTGAGGACATCCAGAATGTGAATCAGATTTTCTTCTACTCTGTGTTACATCTGATTGTAATCAGAAGATATAAATGTAAAATCAAGCAAGCCCATATCCTGCAACAGGATCAGAGCCTTCATTAATGCAAAGGGAAAAAAAGATTATTTATTTCAAATGTTCTCTATAGTTCTAAAAATCTGTTTCTTGCATCAGTTTTTTTGCAGATTATGAAATACCTAATCTCCAGAAAGACAAAATCTCAAAAATTGTCATCTGGGTTGTGGATGATATTGAAGGACCAGATATGTAAGTTACATCTTCCAAAAAAATTAATTTCTCCTTTTTGGACCTGTCTTTAGAATTTCACCTTAGCTTTCTGTTTGATTATATTTGGAAAGCAATTAAACTAAAAATATTTTAGATTATTTCACTAACACAGAAGGCACACCCTGCCATTCCCCAAAAGTATAGAAATACCAGAATTAGACAAAATACAAATGAATTCTAATATTAGGTCTAGAGTCCACTCTTGGTTAGATGTGTGTGTGGATCTCGGACCTTGAGTGAAGATATAGCACATACAGTTTTACTAAGAAAAGAGCCAATGTGAATTTCAGATTAAATGCTGGCCTGAAATATTACTTTCACCTTGCTGTGTATGCATTCTTTTCATTTTCACCTATCTTAACTGTCTGAAATTTAGTAGAAGCAGAGAAATACCACCAGGGGGCTCATTTTCTCGCAATACTTAAAATCAATCAAATAATAAAATGCAGGCTTTGAAAAGGTCTAATTTTGCTGTTAATTTAATAAAAACAAACAAACAAACAAACATGCATGGGAATATCTGTGTATTTTTATTGATTGCTTTTTACAATGATTTTGTTGGTCCCCATATGATTTCTTTAGTCATGAGTATTTACTGACCAATGTAGGTAGCGCTGATCTTAATACTTGATGTTGGTGCAACTTTTAGAGGTCTCAGTAGGTTCTGTACTATGCTAAACTTTCTTTTGCTAATGGACCACAAATTTAAAAATCAATGCTAGACACAGAAGCTGCACGTAGGATTGTTTCTGTTTTTTTCTCTCTCCTTGTGTTTTTCTATTGTTCTGTATTCGAGAGAGAGGCCAAGCTTCTAGCAAGAATAATTCTAATTTATCATAACCATCTTATTCTGTAAAGACAGCTAGCATCAACTTTAGCACCACCTAAATAGCTGCCAAAGAATATTACAAATGAAACAGTTATTTTTTTATAAAATTATTTATCTCCTTTTCTGTTTGTCTAGTGAAATATTAAAAGCAGGAATATTAGTTAATAGAATCTGCAAATGCTTCACTGGCTGAAGCCAATCTTCCAGTCTCTGCAAACTGAGTATAAAATGTTAAACTGTAAGCAAATGAAGCATTATAAATAGCAATGTACACCAGTTTTCTGTAGGTGTTAAGGAATATAGAAGAGGCAAAGTAATGGGGATTTACTTTACTAATTCCATCAAGTTCAGTGAAATGAAATTAGGTGATAAAAGACTTGCAATAATACTAAAATCCTTTCTCACAGAGAGTCCTGTGGAACTCACACTGTAAAAATATTAGAAAACAGGCTAAAAACCCTTGGTTATGATGTCACCTGCACTGACAATTACAAGTAAGTGAAAATCCTTCATTAATGTGGTGTATTTGCAGAAGCACCTCATCTATTTTAAATGCTTTCTTACCTTCCAGTACTTAAGTGCCATTAATGCTGTGTCTTCAGTAAGAGACTGATATATTGGAGGGGTGATGTCACATTTTTCAGACTTACCATTTTTTGGCCATGAATTGAGCAAAACACTACACTGTATTGTATAATTGTATAATTAAGTGGAATATTGTACTTACCCAATGTCAGACACAGAAGATGGCCTCATGTATTCCACTTCACTGTTAATTATTTATTTGGATTGAAAATATAAACAATGGTTAAAAACACCATTGAATGTCTTCAGAATTACTAGTTACTCACAGTAGTATTCACAGGTCTAGTTATTCACAGTAGATTGTAACATAAATATAATTGAAGGGAAGCTTTAAACATGATAATACTGTTGAGTTTGTTTTGGATTTTCATTTGTTTTCCTCAGTTTTCTGCCTGAAAGACGCTAAATAAAATGATGTCTTCACAGGTCTGTAATGTTCTTACTCTGCCTGGATTATCCTGATGATTCTAAGTGTACCCTTTCATCGTAAGTAAAAGAAGTTCAATTCATCTCAGTGTCATTACAAACAAGTAAATAATGCAGAAGTCAACAGTTCAACAGATCCACCTCCATCATCTATTATGTATCACCCATACGCAATATACAGTATTCTTGAATTTATTACTCTATGTTGAGTAAGCAGTTTCTATCTACAAATTGTGCACAATTGCCTGTGAGCACCTGCTATTCAACATGAGGTGATAAATCAGCTGTCATCGATCACACAATCACACAATATCACTGATATTATGAATGAAGTTTGTAAATATCAGTGTTCTGATGCAAAATCTATTATAAATTTGAAATTGCTTTCATTAACATTATTACTTGAATAATGAAATTGTAGGTTACATGGCAACAGATCTAGAGGACATTTCTCCAGCTACTGGAACTTTAAGTTCCAAATTTTGAGGAAGTTTTTTTAATCTTCCATTTTGTGTGCAAACCCAATTTCTATATTTTAATGTATTTGCCTTGGGCCAGTAGGTTATCTGCAGAGAATGCAGATTACATCCAAGATACAACTTTCTTAATGAGCAAGCATCACTCCCAAAGTAGGTTTTAATAGTTTCCCTTCCTATCCATATTTTTCTTTATTATGTAAAGAGGATTAAATTAATTTGTGATGTATTTCAGTTAATTTACAGTAAAGATGACTGTTTTCAATTGTGGCTAAATTTCATAATCTATATGCTGTTGCATGTATGGGTGCACATAAGATACTTGAACATCTGAATATGAAAACTTCCTCACAGTTTGGAAAGTTGCAGTAGATGCATAAAAGTTGTTCTCTAGTTACATTATTTTTATGCATAATCCATACATTTTGCCACATCCTATCTCCTACTGTCCTTTCTGCCCTAATTCAAGCATCTGCAAATCTTTTGTATGTTAATACTTATGTAATACTCCAATGAGAACTTCCGCTGTGAAAAACCTGATTTGTTGTCCCTGATTATGGCAGCAGTGAGGTGCAACTCCTGCTTCTCTGCCTCTGGTTGTGTGGCAGTAGTGCTTCACGCAGTACAGAAAAGGAGGTGTATATCACTTTCTGTAGCATGTGTTCAGCTTTTAATACACCCTTACAGAGAAAGTGAGTGTTGCCTTTTCCTGCCGGTCACTGAAAGCTTTTACTCATCTTGTCATGCAACAACATTTTAGATACCACTGATAGCTCTAGATTCCTTCTAGGTAGTAGATAACAGAACAGGCTTCCAGTCCTGTTAAGGCATTTGTTTGTTACTAGGTACCACTTGCACAGTGGATTAAAATAGGGTTTCGTTGTTCTGCCAGTGAATGGTAAGGCTTTTGTTCATGTGTCAAAGGAAAATACGGTTGTCCCATGTGAAATCGCAGCTGTGAACGTGGTGACAATATTAAGAAATTGGAGGAAAAAGCACTTTGTAGGGCTTTAAAAAATATAATATTGTGAACTCTTAATGGAAGATTTTTCTCTTCTCCCAGGTTTTAAACCATTTCCCTGAAAGTTTTGTGATGTGGGTACATTCCTCAGCTGAGGAAACCTGGATGAGAAAGCTTTTGGAAACCATTAATGTCTTTTTCCTTTCACCTAAGGGATGAGCATACCAGTTCTCCAGTATTACCACATAGCACTTGCAGTATGTAAGCAGGGGAGCAGCCACCCCTTCCTTTCCATCCATGTTGGTACTTAAATTAATATAATCACTAGTGTATTCTAAGCACCAATCTCATGCTCTCCTGGGGCAACTACTAAGCAACTCAGCTGTTATCATCACCCTTAGGAAAAGTTTCCTTGCTTCTTTCCCTCCTGAGCCTTCTATTCCCTCCTGTATGCATGGCAATGTAATAGGCTTGATATTGACTTCGTATCTATGCTAACCCTAATCAAGACAGAGCTTCCCAATCTGAATGCTAACTATCATTGCCACTCCCTGAAATTTAAGTAGCTAAAATACTTCAAGCCAATGAATACTTACACTTCTTCCCAAATCACTTACTTCTCTGCAATAAAGAACATCTCCATTGAAATTAGCTGCTCTTTCAGAAAGAGCCTTAAGCAGATGCATATAAATTATTTGATGATTATCTTCTAGATCTGTTTTCTCTGTGGATGGATCCCCGCTCCCTGATGGTCCATTAACTGACATGGGAACAGTTTGGTCAGTAGTGGTATCACTGTTAAGAGCGTGTATCTGTTAGGAAAAAGTTTCATTTGCAGAGTGTGCTCAGCGTACACTCAGTGTTCATGCTTTCATAATAAATAGTGAGACTAGGCATGCAGGCCTAGTTGCCTCCCCTTTCACAATGGCTATTTTCTGTTACAAGACTGATAGCTGCCTTCTCAGCCTCTGGAGAATATCGTCCCAAGCCCAGAAACATTAGAGTTGTGCAAGTGACTTTTTTGTCACCGCAACTCCTGTTACATTGGCATACCAAAGGAGAGGGCTGTGTCAGGTCAGCAGAGGGATGGCCTCTGTACAGAAGGTGCTGTAATGTACTTGGGGCCTCTTGGGTAGTGGTAGCGCCCCTTGACTCCTCTCCAGACTTGAACTGTGTTCCTGCCGAGTCAAAATTTGGACTTTGGCTTGTTGACACCCTGATGTTTGAAGAAAACTTGTAAGTAAAAAAATACCCACTAGATGGCATAGATGGCTTACAAACATAAGCAGAAAGGAAGCCAGATGCAACCTATTAGTAGTGGTATTTATTACTTGCATTACTGCAATGTCAGGGAGACTTAGAAATGGATCTGTATACTGTTGTATCAAGTGCCATAAAAATATAGACCTCTAGGACCACTGCTGTCTAGAAGAGCTCTATACAATCTCAAGCATAAGGCCAGAGACAGTAATTGTATGTGGAGAGACAAGGAGGCTCATGTATTAAGGTAGAAAGGAGTGTTCCCAGGGTTTTGCACAGATATCCTGTTTATAAAATCATGACAGCCAAAAGGAATCTGGTGGCAAGCTCTTATAAAGAAACTTAGAGCTTAGCACTTGGACTGCAGACTTCATCCTTGGCAACAAACCACTGATATTTAAAAGAATCCTAACTCAGCTCTGTGCTGTGAACATCCTGTTTGTTTTCTTTTCTTCAGATCTGCACCAGCAGCACAAAGAGGACCTATATCTTCAGACAGAGGAGGCAGCTGGAACAAGCTCCTGTTTGTTTCTTTTCTAGGCTTTTTGTTCAGATTTGCTTTAGTGTACTAAGTTAATCAACTGAATCCATATCCTCTGCCTTAGCTGGCTATAAATTTGGCTTCAACTAATTTCTAACTGCAATTTCACCCTACTTCTGGGACGGGCAAACCTGCATATTAAAACCTTCTATCTAGATACCAACTACTTTTGGTATAAAGAATTACTCTACTGCTACTAGAAAGCCTCACCCTTCATTTTGTTTTCTGGAATAGAAGAAATCCATTGCCATTTCCTCTTATCCTTATTCTCCAGAATTAAACTGAGACTAATACTTCCTATTCACGTATTTCAGAAATAGAAGTGAAACTATGCCTGTCATACATCTCCCACACAGCTTCTGTTTTTACAGTTCGTAAAAGCAATCCTAGCATTTGGCCTTTGAAACTAAGTGTCTGATTATCGTGTTTTGGGAAGGGCAAATATGAATTCAGATGGGAGAGAGCTTAGATTGCTCACTTGGTACAAGAAACAATAGGCAAGACAGTGGAAAAATAAAACTCCTTTTCATAAGTGGTCCAGTACTTGGGCCAAACTTACCTGAAACTATCATACAGTGAGATTCTGGCTTACATACTTGCATACAGTATTTTACCACATAATATGGATTGCTTCATCATCCATACAGCTGTTCCTCAGCTAGCTGTTTCTTGGCCACTGGATAGCCAATAGTCAGGAATACCAGGTCTAGAAATTTCCACAGTGTCCTGGTTTCGGCTGTGGTAGGGTTAATTTTTCTTTCTAGTAGCTGATACAGTGTTATGTCTTGGATTCAGTATGAGAAGAATGTGGATAACACACTGATGTTTTCAGTTGTTGCTACATAATGTTTATACTAAGTCAAGGACTTTTTAGCTTCTTATACACAGCCAGCGAGAAGGCTGGAGGGGCACAAGAAGTTGGGAGGGGACACAGCCAGGGCAGCTGGCCCAAACTGGCCAAAGGGATATTCCATACCATGTGATGCCATGCCAAGTATATAAACTGGGAGGAGTGGGCCTGGGAGGGATCTCTGCTTGGGAACTAACTGGGCATTGGTTGGCGGGTGGTGAGCAATTGCATCATGCATCATTTGTACATTCCAATCTTTTTATTATTATTGTCATTTTCTTATTGTTATTATTATAATTATTATTTTCTTCCTTTCTGTTCTATTAAACTGTTCTTATCTCAATTCACAAGTTTTACCTTCTTCCTTCCCATTTTCCCCCCCATCCCACTGGTAGGGGGGAAGTGAGCGGGCAACCGTGTGGTGCTTAGTTGCTGGCTGGGGTTAAACCATGACGCACAGGTTTTCCACCTTGATGTGATGGTTGATCACCATGATGTGATTTATGGCATATCAAATTCAGACGAGAACCTGCCAAGTTTTCCTTACCTATGCTGAAACGTCCTTTGATTAGTTCCTTCAACATCCTCCTCATTTTTATTGCTTGTTTGATGCTCTCTTTAACAGCAGCTGCCAGAATAATGAGACGTATTTGTTTGTAACACGGACACAGCTCAGATAACTAAACCCAAGCAATTTTGATCGGTCTTCTATTTGTGCACAGCAGATCACATCATGACACATTTTGGACCACAGGCTGTAGAGGTAGTGCATATGAGGCTCCCAGATAGGTGTCCAAGCCATTGTTTGGTGTAGTGTTGTCCTACCCACTGACCAGCATATTATAGTATGTGCGGAATTCAGAGAATAGCTTAATACCATTAACAAGCCATATGCCTCTCAGGCAACTTCCATCCACAAGCCAAGCATCCCAGCTGGCCAACTTTTGCTTTCCAGCCTATGAAAGCTTTCCAGCCTCTGGATGCAATCCATTCCAGCAGCACAGTCAGTGCTGGCTGTTACATATAATACCAAACACACTGTAGGAAGTGCTAAATAATTCTGTTTTGAAAAAAAAAAGTAAAATACAGAATAGGATAGATAGGATTCAAATAATTTGAGGTTATTTGCTGCGTAACCTTGTATCAGGAACAACACACTCAGAAATCTCTTGCAGTGTTCTTGCCTCTTTTCCCATTACTTCAACTCGGTACCAAAGAGAGCAATTTTTTTTCCAATATCTTTTGAATAAAGTGTCTCAAACTTGCTGGAAAAGCTTGGAAAGATCAGTAAAGATTTTTAGCTAACCAACTAATATAGCTGGGAAAAAAAGAAGGCAAACTTTTAGATACATAGGCTTCCTGCGATCTTCAAGGCAGCAAATTTCAAGCTGAATGTGGATCATTTGTTCTGAGTTTAATGTAATGGTTTTAATCTGTGTGAAAGAACAGCGTGACTGGCATCTTTGAAGCAGAGAGGCAGAAGTGTCAGCAAAGCGAGAAACAATAAGGTCATTTGTTACTCCCAGAGGAAGGGAGAGATATGAACAAAAAGTTTTGAGCAAGAGAATCCCTTATCTCTCTCTCTTTTTATTTCTACATCTACAAAGTGTTTGAATAGTGCTATTTACACATATATTTTACACTTACATGGTGAGAATCGGCTAGGTATGCCTGTGCTCTGTCTTGAACACTTGGGGTAAATGCTCTGATTGGCAATGTCTCATGTAACAGCTGTGCCAAATTTGGAGAAATCATAATGTCCAAAAGACATCTGCCCTTCTCTGTAAACTCACAGAGGCCTGGTAATGTTCAGCAGGGTGCTTCAAATATAGATTCAAAATGTTTCAATCATTCATACTTGTACTAGCAGTACTGCAAAAACAGCTTCCTCCAGACCTGAATTCAAGGGCAAAAATGTTTCATAAGAAAACATTATGTATATCACTTCATTTTGAATCCAGCTGGATGCCACAGTCCTGTGTAGATCTGTTAATATCCAACTACTTATAACAAATTAAAGCATCACATACAGGAGCATTACAAGGTGCTCTGCATTTCTGCAGACAGACCTGTGGAAGCTACTGATACTAAAGTGGTATTTCCTGTCTTTGCCCATATTGTGGACCACTTAAGAACTCAGTTATGTCACACTCTTCACTCCTATATTGAAATAAATATCATCTCCCCTTCTGCTAACCTACCTTTTTTTTTTCCTGTTGTGTGTGTTCCAGTCATATCTGACAAAAGCCAAACTCTAATTCAGAGTAATTCATTTTTTCAGCATGTATGTGCATACACACATCTATATCTGCTCATATGTGCTCTGTCTACTTCTAAATGCAAACTCTCAAGTGCTCTGGAGTAAGAAGTTATGAGAATAAAGCAAGGACAACTGGTTCACCTCTCTGCCCTTTTTATACTGCTGGTGTTTATTTTTGTCATATTGGCCTCGATGTGATATTCAGCTGACATGACTGTGTTTCCAATCAGCAGTCTTAAATGTAGTGAAACTTGAACTGAAGCTTCAAGAAGTTGCATAATACTTATTGTTCAAAGAAAGCTAACTCTTTTGACAGTTTTCTTTTCAATGGATTAGCTAGAAATAATTCTGATGTATTCTGCTTCAACAATAGAGAGTGTAAAGTGGAAGAAGGGTGCTTTTAGCAGAGCCAAGAAGTTTGGTTTAAAATAGCTCAGTATGGGGAGGCACAGTATCTTAATTTAGCCAAATGTTAGGGTGGCTCAAGCACTTCACAAGTGTTTTTCTGATTTTCAGGTTTTTCCTAATTCCAGCTTCTGCCCAGTCTAAATTTACTTGCCATTTTATTTAAGAGCTGAAGGATATAATCTGCCAGATTTTGTTTATAATCTGCAGGCATCTGATTTCCTGCAAATTATGAAGGCAAGCTCAGAGGAGACCTCCGTTGCCTTACTGCAGCAGCGCAGTTCCAAGTGCAGGCTGGCAGGGAGAGGGGCCCAGGAAACTGGAGCCTGGGAGCGTGGCACATACATAACCTCACACCATGCCAGAGTATCCACCCTGCCTGGGCAGCCCCGCTTCACCTACCTTCTCCTCTCTTTCCTGCAGCCGCAGCAAAGGTGAACCTGATCTCAGGTCAGATGAGTTACTTCGTATTTTTAGCTGAATATGTGAGTGGAAAATTATGATGTTGGATGTTTTATAGAAGGAAAATGAAGGAGGAAATTATAATACGTATTTCCTTTCAGCAGCAGGCAGTGAAGTAAAGTAACTAGTCTTTTACTTGTGACTATTTGTCTAGGAATATCTCTGCACTACGTAGGCAGTAAGTGTGCTAAGTTCCCAAAGTGCAGACAGAGGGGACGCTCCAGAACTTTATGTCTAAAGTAACTCAAGTTATAACATTAGTTACAATAATTAACAAAGAAATAGTATTTTTTAATCCAGTAACTGTGTTTGCCTGGGCATCTCTTAGTGATTACACCTGATACAGTCTGATATCAGGTGCTAATGAGTGCTTGGATAGATAATTAACAAGGAATGTCAGGTATTGCAAGCATAAACTAGGATGATACGTCAAGAATCTGGCAAACACTGGATCACCAGTCTGCAGGAGGGCTCTTTTTCACATTTGCAAGAGGTGAAGTCAAGAGAGCAGTGCTAAGAAAATGGCAGGTATTCTGTATGATATGCTAAGTCAGGGTACAGGTGTGGAAAAGCTCCTAGGTCACACTATGCCATTTTGAAGAGCAGCAAGCAAAGAAGCAAATGAGCAGAAATAAGTATTCAGTCAAAATGTTGCAATCTGAAATCTCAGCTGCAGGATGTGCTGGCCTGTGTCGTGCTTTATTATTACTTTTCTTTTGTTTTAATGAAAGATGCCAGAAAATCCAGCTTTGGTATTTCCACAAAGCAGAATGAATGCTCTGAGCTTTCACCCTGAATATTCTGTCACAACTGCCCATTAACATGGGGTTAAATGAAAACAGAGCTGCTGGAATAATATGAAAAAGGAATGATGACAAGCAGAGTATATGTCATATATCATGCAAGAAGTTAAGGACAGTAAGAATAGCCCATAAGCGTAAAAGCCACAGCATCAAATCCTGGACAAATATTTGTATGTGTGTATACAAAAGCATGTTTTACCTAGCTGACAGGCAGGAAAGATCTT